TGAAATAGAGCATGATGTTTGTGCTCTGATCAGCAATTAGGTATAAAACGAAATGTTTTTAATTTTCATTGTTAGTATTCTTCTCTTGAGAACTGCGATGTAATTAACGTCAGAAATTATGCTAGAAGACTGGACTTGAACGGAGACGAAGAAAGGTGGCGTAAGATCGTGTCTTCTTGTAGATCGGATGAAGCAAGAGCGAAGACACGAAAGAGTTTAAGCGATTATGACTTGATTGAAGGTCTAGCAGCCACAATAACAAGGAACGAAATTGGAGAATTGGTGATTGAACCAAGACTCTCATCGTATCAAATGTGTTTGATATCGGACGACTTCGCTTACGACTTTCGACAAACGCTTCATTCAATTTTGTTTTTGGAAATATCTTAAAGCGAGATAAATAATTTTTGCAAATAAATGCGTCAGAAACTGATATGGGAATCGCAATGGGAAAATTAATGCAGCGGGTTTAAAGGAGTCTCTATGGCTCAGTGAAGGCCACTAAGAAATTTTAAGTCGAGTGTACATTCACTGAGTTCAGTTAAAATAGGGGAAACTATTTTGATTGAATTTTATCGAGCCCCTATTGACTTCTGCGAGGAGCTTTCTGGCAATTCTAGGCTTTTATTCACATCCTACGTAAACATTGTTTTGCCATCGCTATAATTTAAGAACAGAGTATGAACGTTCACAATATGTTTTGATAGCTGAATCGGCTATATAACGTTTGTTTCCATATATAATTGCGATCTCTTCGAATCGCTCTATTTGTTGCATTTGATATTTAACTTGTCTTGAGCGCACCAATTAACTCTGAGAGTTATCTTTCTCCTTTTTACAAAGTATTTGGGGTTTTCTGCCTCATTAATATTGTGCGAAAAGGCCCAAGTAAACTGTTGCAGTTGCTGTATTGGCCTCGAGAGCGAACGATAGCTGTGACCAGCGATACAAAGCCACATGTGCAAGTAGTTTCTTATCTTCATCATTTTCAAGGGGGGCTACATTAATTATTTTTGCACAACTTTCTTGAAAGATTCAGGAGTACGTTTCATTGACCCTAAAGGATAAGCAATATAATGTAGAATGTTCTGGCCGTATCGAGGAGAATTTATTCGTTCCCTTTCAAAAACCTCGATTGTGCGGTTGGTAAGAACTTTTTTACTTAAATCGCAGGATCTCATTATAGTCTTAAAATGATCTGTAATAAAGCATAACACAAGTTTAATAAATTGGCGTTGGTTTTTATGCATCTGTTCTCTTGTTGAAGGCTATAGCATTGCCGAAACAAATGGCCGTAGATCCACGTGGTAACAGGGTTTTCGTGCATATTTTGTCTCTCTGATGGCGAATTATAATTTGAAGTTCGAAAACCAGTGAGCCTTTCAGCAATTAGGAGAAGCAAATTCGGGCGAATTTATCTGAACAACAAACCAAGCTTCAAAAAGAATAGATGCTACTTGGAGCGATTGACATGAATCAAAGTAAAACACAATAACGTGAAAGAAATCATTTATTAGACACCAATAAACCGTCGTTCTGAACACGGGGTGAAGTTGCAAAGATACAGGGCACTCGTGTGTCATTCTGGTTAGTAAAAAAAGCAATATCGGGTCGCACCAAACTTTCGTATTGTCAACTGAGAAGTATGATACGTAAAAGTCAGAACTCTAGCTGAGTTAAATTCATGCTCATATATTGAGCTACTAACTATATTGATCTCTTGATTGGAGTAGATTGCTATCACATGTTATTTATTTTTCTCAAAGAAAACTACCGAATGAAGGCTACGGTCAAACAATTCGGCACAGTTGTCGCGTCGAACACACAGCTGATAAGAGCCATCTTTCTGCCTTGGATGGTCCAGGCGAGGGTTCCTGCTAGATAAAGAAGCCATTGGCCCCTCAATGAATTGATATCGCCGATTTAACTCTCTTCGGAACTTTAGATCTGGTCTTCCAGAACGGAATTGTGAGACTACTGCTTGCCACTGCTTCTTATTTTGAGGGTTTCTTAGATCCAAACCATTCTCGTTCTCATCGCCTCTTAGGTCTTTCTTATTTACTCGAAATATCAACACGGCAGAGCTGAGCCAGCGAGATCTCGTCCATCTCCAAGCTTCCTCGAAGCTCTTGCTCAGGTAAAATCCATCTTCGTGACTGAAGTCCTGGTTTGTTTTACCTTTTCTTAGAACAATACCTTTCTCTATAATGTTTTCGGCGCTTCTATGACTTGCTCCATGAAAAAAGGCTTCAAATTTGTCGTCCTCTAATGACTCTGGAAAACGCTCACTAATTCTAGTTTGGGTGGTGTAACACTCTCTTGCCTGTCCATCTTTTTCAACATTAATTATGTTCACTCCCTGTTCTTGCTGCCCACCCTCCGTTGAGAGAACGAACCATTCGTTAATAGTGCTCTCCAGGTACGGAAAACGGCCGCATCTTGAAAATATACTCGGACTGTATTCGCCAAAAGAAACCTTCAGATATGAGACGAGCTCCCTGAACCGCGCAACAGAAGCTGTTAAGTTCTCGAACCTCGGTTCTCCCAACCATCCTGGAATCGCAGAAAGGCAATGGTAATTGCCTGTATCCAGTGTCTTCAAACAAATGTACACACTACACCAAGACGTACATTCGAGGTACAACTTTGATTCGGCAGCCATCACCTGTCTGTTGTTGTGGATCGTAATTTAAGATCACATACTTCTCTGTAATCTTGATGTCTTCAATTCCATGACATCTTGCATAGCTCAGCAAATTTACAAATTGAGATATTTGGGAGAGTTGAGATTGCGATATCAGGGTCGCTGATAAATCATAAAGTATTGAAAACAAAGGACCTGGAGCTTTGTCTGATCACAAAACGAGCTCCACGATAGCCCGCCCTCAACATGATGTATTTTCTTTACAAATCAATTGCAATGCTGAGGTTTAGCTACGATAACTGCATAGTTCCTCCTTTTCATGAGCGATCTCTATCAAATCCTACATCATGACAAACGGGCATATTGAGGTATATATTCTTCTTACTTTGCTATTCGCGGTGCATTGTATCCCCGGAGATGCTCATTGGTTAATCACGGTTTCCATGACAAGTGTGTTTACTTGTTAGTGAAAAGAGTTCATTGTCTCCAGTAAACATGCATTGCAAAGTATTAGCGATGCGGAAAATGAAACTGGGAAAAGAGTTGGCTGGAGGTTTTAAAGGATCAGTAAAACCGGGAAACTTGCCGCCTAAAGGAATCATGTCCTAATCGGCGAGGACAGAGCAGAGAAAGAAACTCTTGTAGAGTTGGAAGTACTAGATAAAGGATATTCGCATTAATTTAATTGAGTACAGTCTGCCCGCGTTCTTTGCTTGGTGCTCGACTTGACTTCCGCAATCGTGCAATCAGTGATCTGAAACAGTCCAGTCCCCAGTTTGGCTACCGCTTTCGAGGCGTGTCGGAACTAAATTCTCTAACCGCTTAATGCAATCGTTCTGTTGTTCCACAGTTTGTTATTAGCAGTTTACCAGCCAATCATATAATATCTTTGCTCTTCTCATTGTCTCCAAACTGAAATCGAGGCAGCTTCCTCCCTATCATGCAAGGGGACACTTAGTAATGTAAACCCGGTTTGTAGTATGCATGAAGCAACAGAATTAGTTCAGAATATTAGAGTATAAAGCAGTAGAAATGGCGGAAGAATCTTGCATATTCGGAGGGAAGGTTCTACACACCTTTATAGCTGAAGATGTGCAGCAGAGGCTATATTTGATCAGACATAAACAATCCATGATCGGAGACTTAATCGAGTTCCTCAAGTTCGTTTCAGCAGCAAGGTGTTTAATCGTCTATTCCAATTATTCCTGTTTGACATGTCTGCTTGAATTCAACGGTTTTCCATATCAGGGAAGCAAAATCAATGAATGGTTTGTTGAAGAATCTTGTTCTGAAGCTCGGCAGGAACAGAAAGTAGTGAACGTTATAAACGTAAATCAAGAAGGAAGAAGGATGTATTCTTACCGCACCCAAGGTCAAGCAGAAAATTTTCCGGACTGTCTTCTAGCTGACGACTATGAAGTATTCTTTCATGGGTCAAATCATAGAAGTGTTCAAGACATAATAGAACGTGGTATTGACCTAAGCAAGGGAAAAGAAGCGCAAGACTTCAGTGATGGCGATGGATACTATGTAGGTATTAGTTTCGACGAAGCTTTTGATTGGGCTCGGTCGAATACTAGTCGTGGCGAGGGACAAGCTGTACTTATATATCGTGTGCATAAGGAACAACTAAGAGGAGAGAATAACGATAATGGGTTGAATCTGCGTGAAGATAAGCAAGAGTGGCTTCAAATTGTCAGAGAATATAGACACTATCCCCGCGACAGAAAGCCTAACAAAAGACTACGCAAAGATGTCAAAAAACGGTACGCTTTCATTGAAGGACCAAGAGCCTCAGTATCGAGAAGAAATCCCTCTCCCTCTGAAAACATAGATACATATCAACTTTGCGTTAGATCAGAAAACTGTGCCCAACTGTTTAACAACAGCCTCCATTCTGTAGTATTTTTTAAAGATTAAGTGGAGCAACGTTCTCCGGAGTGCACGATTCAGCGAGCTTTACACTGACGAGATTTGCAAAACAGCATCACAACTATCTCTAGCTAATGTTTTAATTTTCAGTTACTTTACTGAGTTCTTACAACAGAAATCAAATTGATTCTATCAAATAAAACTGCAGCAAAAATGCTTGGAAAGTATTTATCTGGAAACAGCCGCGGCGAACTGAACTAAACTTCGACTGAATACTTTCGGCAAAGGAGATACTCTCAATTTCCGCTGTCATTGTTGAAACTTCAGTAGTATATTAATCTTGGAGCTCATTCATTATCAATCTTGACCTCCTAAGCAAACAGCGAGCCCTCTTGAAAATAAAACTGCCTTCTGTGGTATTAAAATTCAACAGCTTGAAGCCAACTGCCGGAGCTTCCAGAGGTTTAATTTAGATTAACAGTAACAAATACTTTCCTCTCCGCGAAGGGCGAAAAGTAAAAAGGTTATATCACAAGCCGAAGTTAAATAAATAAATTACATATTCTTATGACTGTTTTCGTTTTCCTGTGCATTCTGCACAAGCATAGCAAACGTTCAAATACACGTAACCTTACGATCATATAGTTAAGCTTGTCGTTATTTCGCAACATATCATCCATTTTAAACCCACTTGCGAGGAAAGCGGCTTGTATAATAATAATTTTACACTGCCAGAAAATTTAATTGCACACCTTAAAGCAATAATAAAGATCATGAACTTATTACCTATATGTAAAATGCTTTTAATTTTTAAGAACGTAAAATTCAACGGGATTAGTTATCCAGTACCATCGATTTATAATCATACAGTAAACTACTGAGGAAAGAAACCGAAATACATGATGACGTGATCAAATTGAACTTATCTTTAAACACATATCTGACTAACATTAAAACAATTGTCAGGCACTTCACTAAATTCTATCAAAATTCAAGTTACTTTGTTGGTAGTTGCACAACGGTAACACCGTAGAACGTCTACCATGGGTTTGAAATATCTACGCGAG